CAACAAGATGGATTGGCCAAGTGGTAGCATCGATGGACTCAAGCATGGCAATAATAGTAAGGTTGGCCCAGGATTGGGCAGTGTTTCATTCTGCTGTGCATAAGGTCGTTATGGGTCAGTACTGACTTGATGGCCCCTAACAACAACAACAAGAGTCATAAAAGTGGACTTTTGGTATGGTGCTCTAGGATAAGCACTGGACTGCAAACCACAAGATCAGCAGTTCAGATCAACCAACTGCTCCACTGAAACCCTATACAGGGTTGCTATGAGTCAGAAGCAACTCAATAGCACTTGACAACAACAACAACAAAGTCATAGAGGAAGACAGACAATAGACAATCAAATAAGTATATAACAAGTATATTGCGGACTAGTGTCCTGATTTGTTCTTTTACAGAATTTGCTATTTTAGAGAATAATTATAGTGATAAAGTAAGCAGGTAGGTTGCTTTATACAAAATGGCCAGATAAGATGTCTTTAAGGATGTGAGTTAAAACTGGAATCTGGAAAAGAAATGTAATAATAATAATAATAATAATAGAAGGAGCCAGAGCAAAAAATTCTATCAAGTTTGGAGTGGGTTCTCTAAAGAGGATACAATGCTACGATGCCTTATGTAGGAACCAGTATCTTCTTAAATTGCTCTAATTCTGCAAATTGAGGCATCTATTTTATGTTATTGTTGTTGTTAAGTGCCACTGAGTAGGTTCTGACCCATAGCAACCCTGTAAAAGGTTTCCAAGGAGAAACTGGTGAGCTTGAACAGCCAGCCTTGCTGTTCAAATGACTTTGCAGTCTGATGTATTAACCCACAGTGCCACACCAGAACTCATATATTTTATAGCAGTACTTAATGTTAGTATACAGAATAGTAGACTAAGTGTTGCACTGGACTCTTAAGTAATGTGCTGATCATTTTTTATGATTTATTCACAATAGGACAAGTATTTGATTCTAATCACAGTTGTTTTCACCATGGATTAAAGACAATTACATAATTGTCTTAGAAAATAATTGTATGTAGAAGAAAATATAGACCTAGCTTTCCCAAATCCAAAGAAAGAAGGGACATTAATCATATTGTCATTACCCAAATAGTATGATCCCGAAAGATGAGATTTAATCATAATGGTTGATGACCCAGAATGGGCCAAAGATGCTGAAACCAGGGGTTGGTGAAAACCATCTCTGAAATAAAATATTATGGCCACATTTAAGGATGCCATGAACTAATGACAATCAATACATAAGAATGGTTACTCAGTGCCAATGAGGTGGTTCTGACTCATGGGGACACTGCTCAGGGTTTCTGATGCTATAAATCTTTGTGGGAACAGAAAGCCTCATCTTTCTTCCATGGAGTGGCTGGTGGGCTCGGACTGTTGATCTTGCAGTTCACAGTCCCCTGCATATCCACAGAGCCACCACATTGGCAAGCATAATTATCAGCCAAATAGAATTAAGAGCAGAAATTTGATGAGTAAATAGAAGCAACGTTTTTAAGAAGCTGAGAATTATAGCTTTTAGGGGGAAGGTATGCTAAAATACCATTGCAAATGAAGTAGCTCCATGATATGATGTTGGATATGCTTTTTTATTAAATTGCAAAATCAGGAAGCATGATGATATATTTAACTCATATCTTAGTTTTGTGATTCATATACAGATGGGCACCCAAATCATAACTTTCTCTGATTCCCAAATAGTTTTTTAAAGAGCAGTACAATAGACCTACTCTTTTAAATATCCTCACCTAGCGTCAAGTACCGAAATAGCATCTGTCTTCAGTACAAGCTTTAAAACTTTTTAAAATAGCTAACAAAGTGCTGTGTAATATTATGAGAATGTAACATTGATTTTCTTAAAATGCAGTCATCCAAATACACATAATCTCTGACATGTCATATATACCCTTGATAGTCTTATCCGTGCCTACCTCTACTATCCCAATCTTGAATTTGATATTTGAGTATTAACAAACTTTATAATTGTTGAATATATTAACTTATTTTTCATCTTTGTGCCTGTGCTTATGATACTCCCTTTCCCAGAAAAGTCCTATCTTCTACTTAACTCCTATCTCGTTTTCATAGCCAGTTTAGGTGCTTTCTCTGAGCCTTCTAGTTGGAGAAATTACACCTCCCAAACTCATGGAACTTGTTACCTTTATCTATTTTATTTCACGTATGATAAACGATACACCATCTCATGTGTGATGTTGCTGTTGTTAGGTACCATAAAGTCATCCTATGCACAACAGAATGAAACACTGTCTGGTCCTGTGGCTTCCTCACAATTGTTGCCATGCTTGACCCTATTGTTCAGTCACTGTGTCAATCCATCTTGGAAGCTTACTCTTTTTCACCGACACTCTACTTTGCCAAGCATAATGTCATTTTCTAGGGACTGGTCCCTCCTTATAACATGTGAAAAGTATGTGAAATGGGGGCTCTCCATCCTCACTTCCAAGCTGCATTCTGGCTGCTTTTCTTCTGAGACAAATTTGTTTGTGGGGTTTCTTTTTTTGGCAGTCCACACGTCTTTCAAAGAAGCCCTGGTAGCATAGTGGATTACAAGCTGGGTTGCTAACTACAAGGTCAGCAGTTCCAATCTACCAGTCACTCCACAAGAGAAAGATGAAGCTTTGTGCTCCTGTAAAGATTTCCAGCCTTTGAAACATTGTACAGAGTCGCTATGAGTTAGAACTGACTCAATGACACACAGCCACCATCACCATGGTACTTTCAATGTTCTTCATGAATATCAATTCCAATGCATTGATTCTTCTATGGCTTCCTAATTCATCATCTAACTTTCACGTGCGTATTGTTGTTGTTGTTGTTAAGTGCCATCGAGTCGGTTCTGACCCATAGCGACCCTGTTTAGGGTTTCCGAGGGTGTAAATCTTTACGGGAGTAGAAAGCCTCATCTTTCTCCCGCGGAGCAGCTGGTAGTTTCGAACCGCTGACCTTAAGGTTTGCAGCCCGATTCGTAACCACTACGCTACCAGAGCTCCTTTCGTGCGTATTAGGTGATGAAAATACCACGACTTGGGTTAGGCACTTCTTAGTCCTGAAAGTGACATTTTTGTTCTTTAACACTTTAAAGAGGTATTTTTTCAGCAGATTTGTCTATTGCAAATAGACAAATATGTTCTTTCTTGACTGTTGCTTCCATGAGTGTTGAATGTGGATCCAAATCAAATAAAATCTTTGACAACTTCAATCTTTTCTCTGTTTATCATGGTGTTATTTATTAGTCCAGTTGTAAAGATTTGTTTTTCCTTTAGATAGAGGTGCAATCCATACTGAAGGCTGCATTCTTTGATCCTCATCAGTAGGTATTTCAAGTCTTCTTCATTTCCCTCAGGTAAGGTTTGTCATCCCTGCATATAGCAGGTTATTGAGGAGTCTTCTTTCAACCCTGATGTGTGATTGCTGTTTTTGTTAAGTACTGTCCCAAAATAGTAGCAAGTTTTTATATTGAGTCTAACAACACTAACATTTTTGCTGCTATCCTATCCCTAACCAGATTTTCTCTAAGACATAGTCAGGGTTATGTGCTCAAGTAATGCTTATTTTGATAACAGACAACTCCCTGTGAATTCCTCAGTACTCAGGATATGCCTTTCCCATTCCAAAGTCCTCTTCCACTCTAGACACAAGAGCCATGTTTACAAAGGAACATGAATACTGAGGGAAAGTTCTCCCTGGTTCAAGAATGAGGTATCTGGTTCAAGTTTTTGTGCTTAAGCATGGTTCATTTGCATACTTTTCAACTCATATAAAAGCAGTGGATTTGTTAGTTCTAATTTGAGACAAAATGAAAGATAATTATAACATGTAAGTAAAGTAGAAAGCTCAACAGTCTGTGAATCCCTCTTTTCAGGAATTTCATTTTCATTTCTCACTTGTATCTCCTCTGCTGTGCTTATTGTCATAATATTATAATTAGATTTGGGTTAATAGATGAATTCCTCTGTTTCTTTCTTAGTTTCTCATTTCAGGAGAAATTTCCTAGAACTTTCCTTCCAGGAAGAATAGCCCCAGTCCTGTCATTATCTTGCTAAAACTATTCAAATCCTTCTCCATGCCATCCTTGCCAATCTGCAAACAGCAGACATAGCGCTCAACTCAGGACTCCAGGCACAAATAATCTGGATAAGAGGTGAGTACTGTATGTATTCATTCACTCACAAGTTTACTTTTTTATGCAACAAACATATAGTGACATTTATCACTAAGCCAATGTCTATTTGGTTTTAGAAATACCTCTGTTGCTATAGTGTAGTGAACAAATTAGAAAAGTCCAAATAGAGACTGTCTGAATCATTTAGGAAGAGATACAGTGATCTGAATTAACACAGCATCAGTGAAGATGATGGTAAGACAGATATAAGAGGTATTTATTACATGAAATCCTAATTGACTCATTGGATACCGGACAGAACTGTTATGTGGAGGAGTCAAATATGAAACTTAATTTTTGACTTAGACCACAGAGATAATGAGCAGAGACGAAGTAGAAGAATTTTAGGGAAGATGATAACCTAAATATTTGATGTGCTTCCAAGATAATTAAGAAACTTCTAGGTGCAGCTCTTTAGCTTGTTAATAGATCTATGAGTCTTTAAATCAGAAGGGAAGAAAAGGGAAGTACTGGAGTTATAGATAAGATATTTACCAAGGTAGATGGTAAATGAGGTCATAGGAATGGATGGAATTGTCTGGACAGAGACAATAGTATATAATCAGAAAATGGTCAAGAATGAAAACAGCTATATACAAGGTCTGAGCAAAGAAGATAAACCAGCAAAGGAGTTTGAAAAGTGATAGAAATATAGAGGAAACAATTTTCAATATGATAATGATTGTGTCACAGCAGATGATGCTAAAGGTGATGATGATTGTGATACTGTTTATGATACAAATGTTAATGAAACTGAATAAGTAATTTTTAAAAATATCCATTTATTTTTCAGCTCATTTCCTGAGGAATGTCAGACCAATATCTTCTTAATTATCAGGAAATGGTACTGTCCAATGACACTTGGTTTAGCCCTATGTTCTATCTTACTGGCTTTCCTGGATGGGAAGCCATCAGTCACTGGATCTTCATACCCTTTTTCTTTATGTACCTGGTGTCCATCTCAGGCAACTGTTGTATTCTGATAATCATTAAGACCAACCCACATCTACACACACCCATGTACTACTTGCTGTCTTTGCTGGCCCTAACTGACCTGGGACTATCGGTGTCCACCTTGCCCACCAATATGGGGATATTTTGGTTCAATTACCATGGGATCTACTTTGCAGCCTGTCAAATACAGATGTTCTGCATCCATTCATTTTCCTTCATGGAGTCATCAGTACTCCTTGTCATGTCTTTTGATCGCTTTGTGGCCATCTGCTATCCCCTAAGATACTCAGTCATAATCACTGGCCAGCGAGTGGTTAGAATAGGTCTGGTCATCATCCTCCGAGGCCCTGTGGTCCTTGTCCCCATTGTTCTCTTCCTGAAAGCTTTCCCATACTGTGGGTCTCGAGTCCTATCCCACTCATATTGCCTACATCAGGAAGTGATACATCTGGCCTGCACAGACACTACCTTCAACAATCTCTATGGGTTGACAGTGGTAGTGTTCACTGTAATGGTGGACCTGGTACTCATTGCTCTGTCCTATGGGCTCATCCTGAACACAGTGGCAGGACTGGCCTCCCGAGAGGAGCGACTTCGAGTTTTCCAAACATGTACCTCACACCTCTGTGCTGTGCTGGTATTCTTTGTGCCCATGGTGGGATTGTCCCTGGTGCATCGCTTTGGAAAGAATGCTCCACATGCTGTCCACCTCCTCATGGCCAATGTCTACCTCTTTGTGCCTCCCATGCTTAACCCAATCATATACAGTATTAAGACCAAGGAGATCCGCCGTGTGATCATCAAGTACCTACACCTTAGAAAGGGCAATGCTGAGTCCTGGGACTAAACATTTTGCTAGGTGTTCAGAAGAAGGCTAAAGATTTACAAAATTGAGTGTTTATTGTAACTCCTTGTGCTGCCCGAGATTTTTATCATTACACTAAATAAAGTATAGATGAAGTTTCTCAAGCTATGGCTTAGAAATGCTGACCTTCTTTTGTTTAAGTCATAATGTCTCTGAGACATCATCACTGAGACCTGGATGAATGAAAACAAGAAGCTCAGGGTGGAAATTAGGAGAATACTGACATATTGTGGGGATTAAAACCAATGTCACAGAATAATTTGTACGTGAATTAACTAACGTGAAACAAATTTTCTGTGTAAACTTTCACCTAAAGTACAATAAAATGTTAAAAAAAAAGAATAAATTTCAAAAACCATGCAAGACAATGTTATTGAAATATAAAGATATGAATGCAGCAAAATATTTTAATAGAAAGATTTCATTTTTATATCAATATCTTATATTATATATTACATATACTGATTGTTTCAAAAATAATCAAAAATAAATTCAATTCTAAGCAAACTTACAGCTAGTCATCCTATAGAACTTGATTGGTGATTTTAAATTCTCATGGCAAAGCAAAAGTCAAGAAAAAGCAAGATAATTTGGAAATACCTCCTTTTATGTGGACCCCCCTTAACAAACTCAAAGATATTTTTCTGAAGCTGTAGTAATTCTCACATTATAGTATTTGTGCTGAGTTAAATAAACATATCAGTAATAATCAGAACAAAATCAAATTCAAGAAATATATCCAGAGATATAATGTTAACTGAAATAGGAAACATGAAAAATTACTTAGTAAAAATTGGATTTTTTTTTTTTAAGTGGTATTAGCCAAGTTTGTAATCCATATGGAAAACACAATCTGGACCCTATCTTACAGTATACTTAAAAAATCAATCAGAGTAGACATAATGTTAAAAATTTATAAATTTAAAAATATATATGAGTAAAAACACAAGCAAATGTAAGATACCTAGAAAAGAGGAAATATTACCAGTCATACATTGGGAAATTATCTCACCATTATATATAAGCAACTGAGAATTAATATCTAGAGTGCATGAAGAACGTCTATAATTCAATAAGCTAAAGCCAAACCATTCAATAAGTTCAGCAAAGATATGAACAGATAATTTTCAGAAGTGAAAAACTTAAGTGCCAATTAATGCCTGAACTACGTATCTCTCTAAAAATTAGGAAAATATAAAATATGTAACAAAAAAGATACCATGCTTCATCAATTGCATTCAAAAAAATTGAAAAGGACTGAACTTACTCAATGTTGGTAAAGGAGTAGAAAAATTAATTGTAATCTAGTGATCAATGTAGTGTAACTCATGGAGATCGACTCTGGAATATCTATTAGAAGTGGAGTCCTGGTGTGGCACTGCAGGTTAATGCACTGGACTACAAGGTCAGTTTGAACTGCAAGGTCAGCAGTTCAACTTCACCAGCCACTCCTTAGAAACCCTATAAAGGGTCACTCTGATTCAGAACCAACTTGATGGCACTAACTACAACAACAATTAGAAGTGGGAACTCATCAAATGAAATACACAGGAATTAAATTGACTGCATCTGTGTGAAGAGATGATCTTGAAGCTCAATATCGTTAGCCAAAACAAGGCAAGAGGCCAACTGTGGGAAGGCTATCAATTGAACACGTGTAAATTCAGGAATCCTGATGTGGTGCTCTAGAATAAGCACTTGACTGCAATGTTCATTATTCACACCCACCAATTGCTCCTCAGAAATGCTATACAGTATAGCTATGAGTCAGAACCAACTCGACGGTGACAAAATTCAGGTTGATGCTGAAGAAAATTAAAACAATTCCACCAAGAGCCAAAATATGACCTTGATTATATCCCACCTGAACATCAGGCATGAAGAAAGAGAAGGTAATTAAAAAGACAGAAAAGGTAGAAAAGACCAAGTGAATGCCAGAAGAGATTCTCAAAATTGTTCTTGGATATAAAGAACCTTAAGAAACTGGAAGACATAATGAAGTAAAACAGCTGAACAAAAATTTTCCAAGGATAGCTAGAGAAGACAAAGTAAAGTATAATCATGAAATGTGCAAAGACTTGGAGTTAGAAAACCAAGTCAAAGAACATGTTCAACAGAGTTGAAGAAAAATTTCAAGCCTCAGGTTTTAAAATGGAAGTATTATATGGGCAAAATATTGTTGAATGATGCAGGAAACATCAAAGAAGATGGAAGGAATACACAGAATCACTGTAACAAAAAGAATTGGTCAGTATTCAGCTATTTCAAGAGGTACCGTATTATCAAGAACCATTGGTACTGAAGGAAGAAGCCCAAGCTGCACTGAAGGGACTGGCAAAAAACAAGGCTTTAGGAATTGATGGAATATAAATTGAAATGTCTCAACAAGGTGATGCAGTGCCTAATGCAATCATCAATCTCTGCCAAGAAATTTGGAAGACAGCTACCTGGCCAGCCAATAGGAATAGATCTATATCTGTGACTAATCCAAAGAAAGGTGACCAAACAGAATGTAAAAATCATAGGATGATACTATTAATATCACATACAAGTGAAATTTTGCCGAAGATAATTCAAAAATAGTTGCAGCATTACATCAATAGGGAGCTGCCAAAATTCAGACAGAGTTGAGAAGAGGCTATGAAATGAAGGATATCATTACCAATGCCAGATGGATCTTGGCTGAAAGCAAGAATACCAAAAAGACACTTGTGCTTTATTGAATATGCAAGGGGAGTGTGGTGACTGTGTAGGATAAGCACTGGATTGCAAACCACAATGTCAGCAGTTTGAGCCCACCAGCCACTCCACAGATGAAATAAGACTCTATCTGCTCTCACAGAGATTTACAGTCTCTAAAACTTTGTACAGGGTCACTATGAATCAGAACCAACTGGATGGCACTTAACAATAACAACAATGACTATTCAAAGGCATTAGACTGTTTGGATAACAAACTATGAATAATATTGTGAAGAGTGTGCAGTCCAGAACATTGTGCTCATGAGGAACATGGGCATAGACCAAGAAGCGGTCGTATAAAGAGGCAGTTGTTGAAAACCTACAAAAGTGTATATCAGGGTTGTGTACTTTCACCAACTATATTCAATCTATATGCTGAGCCAATAATTTGAGTAACTGGATTATATGTAGAAGATCATGGCATCAGAATTGGACAAACACTCATTAACAACCTGAGATACATAGATGACACAACTTTCCATGCCAGAAGTAAAGAGGACTTGAAGAACTTACTGATGAATATCCAAGATTATAGCCTTCAGTAATCGTACCTCAGTGAAAATTCTCAAAACTGGACCAATACAACATCATGATAAATGGAGAAGAGATAGAAGTTGTCAAAGTCTTCATTTTGCTTGGATCCAAAATCAATATTCATGGAACAGCAGTCAAGAAATAAAAGGACATATTTCATTAGGTAAATCTGCTGCTTAAAAAAGTCAGTGAAAAAGCAGAAGACCTCAATGAGAGGGACTGATTCAATTGTGGTAACAAAGGTTCAAATATAACAATTGTGAGGATAAGATTGATTTGAGTTAGAGCTGACTCATTGGTACCTACCAATAACATATGCCATTAACATTACTAACCTATAGTATCATGGTACGCCATGTATAAACCTGAAATAAATATACAATGTTGAACAAAAGTAAGTTGCAAATGTATATTTATGTACATAGGGTAGCTTTTATGTTGTTACTATTGTTAAGTGCTATCAAGTTGGTTCCAACTCATAGCAACCCTGTATAGGGTTTCCAAGGAACAACTGGTGAGTTTGAACTGCCAATCTTATAGTTAGCAGTCCACTGCTTATCCTACAACTCCACAGTAGGCTATGCTCAGAAGAGCTGAAGAAAAATTTCAAGCTTCAGATAGATTTTATAGAAAGCTTGAAACATAGAATATCATGGTGCCTTTTTTTATGATATAAAAACGTAAGAAAACCATTAAAAACTAAGCTAAGAATGATAAATTACTAACTCTGCAAAGAGTTAATTTTTCTAAAATTAAGAGTTATTTTTTCTAAAATTTCTAGGCTGAGGGAAGTGAGAAGCATTTGTTTTTTGTTTTGTTTTTACCCTTGTATATTTTCTGACATCCTTTTAACTTTATCCAGAAGTGTTGGTTTTTTTCACACCCAAATCCTGCAGAAAGCAGTTTTCTCAAAGGCAGATATTGTGTCTTATTACATTTGATTCAAAGTTCTGGCCCAAACTTGTCTCTAATGAAAGTAAATAACTATCCAGTAGGAAAAAGAATCTCAAAGGGAGACTTTTTTTTGAGAAAGAAGATGAACAAAGGAAGGAGAACTGAGGATTGATCAAAAAATATTCTTAAAACAATTGCAGCTGATGGATGAAGAGAATGAAAGACTTCCTGATCTGATGAAAGATATCCTAGTAGTACTTGTTGTTGTTGTCGTTGTTAAGTGCCGTACAGTCGGTTCCAACTCATAGCGACCCTGAACAGGGTTTCCGAGGCTGTAAATCTTTATGGGAGCAGAAAGCCTCATCTGTCTCCTGCAGAACAGCTGGTAGTTTCGAACTGCTGACCTTGACGTTACCAGCCCAACTCATAACCACTATGCTACCAGAGTTCTTGTTCTTATGTGTCACTAAATTTCAACGGAAAATGACTGGTAAACCCAAATGTTAAGCTCTGGGAAGATGCTGATCCCTCTGTGGTATTAGTCAGTTCTGCATCCGTCTAAGAGTATTTCTCTTAGGGCTGGAGACCCAAGGGAGAAAGAGGAAGACTTTATAGTTACCAGTGGCGCACACACAGAGCAGCTTCTGGAGTCAATTCACCAAGAGGCTGTGAGAGGAGTGGGAAGTACTGCAGCATCCTGGAAAGGAGCTGCAGACAAAGAAAGATAAGTAAGTTGTTACAAACCCTTTGCTTATCTGATCTCTCTTCTCTATCAGGTCTGTAAGTAAGGTTGAGGGCTAGGGCACCTTTCT